TCCTGGGTTATTCGTGTTTCCGGTGGTATCCTATCGTGCCTTCACTATTACAATTTTACCGTGTTTATTTAGATATATATATCTAAAGTAGCACACCACACCATATTTAAATAAACACGGTAAAAATTGTAATAGTGAGGGTATGATAGGATGTCACCGGAAACGCGAATAACCCAGGGCAGAAGGGGAGATACCACGATTGTTTAGCACATGTTTGGTCAAAGGATCGGCTTCACTTGTCTTTTCGACGAGTTGTTGTATGGTGCTAAGAATGGCGATACTCACTGACGATGCCTACTACGATGCCGGCGAAACGTTTGGGAATGTACCACGTCCACGGTTCAACTTTGGAAATGATCATGTAGACAATGGACTCCGGACAAGGTGTGTTCCTCTAAGTCTTCCTACCAATATGACGATGTTGCGAAAACAAGGTCAAACAGCTTCCATGTAAATTAATCTTATCAACAAAACCAGATGCAATCCCAGTCCTGCCTTTCCTTAGGTCGTTAAGCCTTAATGACCCTAAACTCAGAGGTTATGACAAGTAGTATCATAACCTGAGACACACTTACATGCTTACTCCTCATTATCTCAACGAACTTACACAGTCTCTGTTAATAATTTTTCTTTGGTCATTAAGCCTTGATGACCCAAGTCTGACATTAGGCTTATTTAATCATTCTGATTTCGGACCGATATTGTGTATAGATGTTAACACACACACACAAGTATAAGTACCGTAGCCAATATGAAAGATAATTAGCCAAACCATTCTGTATTGATCTATGTCTGTACATTTTTGCTTTTAGTTATGAGCATATATATGACATAAGATGGAGCCGGACAGTCTTCTTTAACTAATGTTAACTTGAGACTTTGATAATAATGAGTTCCAGCTCTGAGGAATTTTATCACATGATGAAAAAAAACTCAGCCTGCCTTCACCCGAAACGAGGAAAGCTGTCTCGTGAACTGCGTCGGTCAGAAGTTCGTATTAAGGCAAGGCGGAGGCAGTACAAAGAGAAGTGGTTAATTCCCAATCTTACCCTTATTTCTACTTTAAGCTTTAAGTACTTTATCTTATGATTTTGATATTGATAAAAAGTGCAAGTGGAAAATGTTGATAAAATTGATTCCAATTTGGGGCTAGAATGTTTTTAGGGCAGGGAAATAATTTAAAAATGTGTTGAAGCATTTACAACTAACTTGTTTTAATAGTGCCTTGATTTCTTCGATTTCTATCACTCTCACGTCCTGTAATCGACTTATCAAGGCTTTATCGGACACCTTTAGTAGAATAAAATATAAAAATATGAGTTAGTTCTTGAATACGTACGCCAATATAAAAGTCTAACAGTATATGACAATAGCAAGCGTAAAAGAGTAATATTGACATAAACTGGTTTAAGTAAACTTCATTTTAAATCGTATTCTTTAGGTGAACCTGCAGTTAGAGGTGGCTATTGCTTCTAGCCTATGTTGTGATTGTCTATCGAGTCAATTTATCAGTTTAGTTTTCCATAGATAACTTTTTATAGACCATTATATACGATTATATCCTACTTAATTTTAAACTGCTTTTGAGATACCTCTAAAAATATATTAAAGTTTCAACAACCATTAGTATAATAATATTTAGACTTTTGGATCAAAGGCAGATCATCGGTAAGTAGCACTAGTTTAATTGGGCATAAGATTTTTTTAGTTCCAGATATAAAACACACTGACACTGGTCTATTCTAAAGTAATAACGACCACTAGGAAGTATAGGAGCAAAGCTTTTGATCGCTTTGAATAAATGAGCCGAAAATCAGCCAGAAAAAGTGAAGTCTTCCGCATGACGAGCATTTTACCAAACGAAACAATCGCCAAATAATTGACGAACGTGAAAATAGCAAGTCTTTAATTTTCAGCAAAAATCCTATTGTTCATTCCAGTCCAGGATTTAAGGCAATTATCTAAATGTTCACATCTACAATCATCCTTTAGGTATGATATAATTTCCACATAGTTGGAATAGAGAACAACTTAATTTGGCACTAGAAATATTAAGCAACATCAAAGCCTACTAAAATTCTGATAACGAAACCCTACAAATACATAAAACCTTGCAACTACTATAGAGAAAAGAGTAAATATAAATGACTGTTTAAAAGGTTTTTTTGTCATATAAGCTTTCCACCGTCGTCTCTTCAGATTTTAAGGATAAATTGTACCTATGCCTTTCTAGCAGACTAAATATTTATATCGAATCATTCAGGTGATGGCAAAGGAAAGGATAGGAAAGAGTACATGAATAATCAAATAAAAGGTGGAATAACTAAAACTTGTAACATGACTTTCCATTCGAAGGAAAAGTTGGTTGTAAGGAATCCGTGAAATAGTCGCACAGGAATACTATTGTATTGTGCGAACAAGTCCTCGGCTCACCGTCCTGTGACTGATGAGCCTGTGCTAGGCTTTCATCTGTACTGTGACAGACATCCTCAGAGCAAGAATCGATACTCTACGAAATAGAGGAAAAATATACTAAACCAAGAGAAAAGGTTAAGAAAAGGCTCCAACCTTATTCGCTTTTTATACGCCTAACCTTACGATCTTAATGAGGCATCCCAAAAATTGGTTAGCTACTTCAACCTTACTTTACTTGCTTGCAGATGAGTGAAGCTAATTCATGAAGGGTAAGTTGATTAGGTGGCACTGAACAAGAGAAGGAGGCTAGATTAGCTTCGCGTCTAGCTAGGACTATGCCACCTCTCATGACATGAACATTACATACTCACAATAGTCACTAGCACAAGCCCAAACACGAATTAACATTAGAGGACCCGTTTATTTGTGTAAGGAAACAGCTGCTAGCAAACTCACATCCGGTTCGTGAAGTAACTTCACTCATCTGCAAGCATGTAGGGTGCGGTTGAGGCAGCGAACCAAATAATGGGGTGACTAATTATGATCGTAAGGTTGGGCGTATAGAAAAGCGATTCAAGTTAAAACCGGCCACCTTTCCTCTAGGTTTAGTATATTTTTCTTTAATTTCGTAAAGTATAGATTCTTGCTCTGATAATGTCTGTCACAATACAGATGAAAGCCTAGCACAAGCTCACCAGTCGTAGGACAGTGATCCGAAGACTTATTCGCACGATACAATAGTATTCACTACGCGGCAATCCTGCTTAGGTTTCCGGTGAGACCATCTCACAGATTCCCTCTAACCAATTATTTCTTCGAAATGTAAAGTCATGTCACAATATATCACTAAGGTTTTCTTCGAAACCTTGTTTTTATTCATGAATAAAACTTACCTCTTTTTTGATTTTGGAGTACCTTATATTTCGTTTGAAGAGGAGCGTGGAAGGGATTCATAAATTGGTTTCACCGGAAGCTGTAGGGGGGTTGTCTTGGAGTTGTGATTGTAGATTTGTGCGAATAGGTCCTCGGCGCACCGCCCTGATACCCCGATGAATCCTTGCTGAGCTTTCATCCGTCAAGTGGCACACATCGTCAGAGCAGGACACCATGCTTTCTTGCGTTCGTGTTTTGGTGAATTATCGTTAAGCATGGTATCTTGCTCTGACGATGTCCGTTACTTGACGGATGACAGCTCAGCAAAGAGTCATCGAGGTCGCATGGCGGTGCGCCGAGGACTTATTGGCACAATTCTACAATCACAGCTACAAGATTCCCACAGCTTCCGTTTAGACCAACTTATGAATCCCTTCCACTCGCCTCTTCAAAGGAAATGAAAGGTATCCCAACATAAATCTATTAAGGAATCCTTCGAAACCCAGTTTCTCTACATACTTTATTTCTAGTTTGACAAGACATATTTTTGAACATATAGTTGATTTTCTGTCAGTTAGGCCAGGATGAAGATACATGCTGTCAATTTCATCCGTTTTTCATTCAAATCTAATATTTTCTCCCGCACACTAATTAAAAGTAGGAGAATCACATTATTTTGACATACACTCAGTTTTGCTTCCCTCTGCATGGCAGCGCCTACTTCGCCGTTTGGTCGCTCTCGACTAGCTGCTTGGCGAAGTTTGCCCTCTCTTTTCAATTTTCTTCCGAAATTTGGAATAGTTTCTCCTTGATCTCCACCATTGTCTCTAAACTTTTGGGGGTCTTTAGTATGTCGTCGTGGTCTACGCTTCTTGCCACTGTAAGTTAACATTTTCGAATTTGAGTTGATCCCTTGTTGCGTCTCAGGTACTCTTAAGGCTAGGAGTACAAAGAAAAAGTAGATACTAATTAAAAAATAAGATATTTAAGTGAACTATTAACAGAAATCAGGATGGATCGGCATATAATAAAATGAAATTCGCCTCAACAATGAAAATTTCTTCGTTTTTTGCCGGACAAGGAGGGCCCAACTAGGTCACACTGGCGGCATGACTAAGCTGCGAAAACGATGTAAGACCACTTCTATTAGCTTTTACTTTTTAAAGTTTCATATAAACATCCCTGTCAAGCTTACATGCCTTTATAAACCAAGTATTCATGTAAGGGGAACCGGTATCCTTCTCTATCTCCTTTACGAACTTAATATTAATACCCAACTGTTTAAGTGGGTCAAAAAAATTATCCATATATCTAGTTAAAAAATCTCTGTGTCAATCTTACTTATTCCAGAAAGCGTTCCTCCATTTTAGACAAGCTATTATTACACAAAATGGAAGCCAAACAAGATCTTTTTGGAGAGACAATAGATTATGCTATAAACTGGATGCCAGGAGTACTGATAGGCAATTAGACAAGAAATGCCTATGCTTGAATAAGAGGCTTAAAGATGGAGAGTGTGTTGAGCGTTCTGGACAATGTAGGCAACCCAGTTTTAATCACAGCCCCCTTCCTATACGCCTTAGTTGACAAACATGCAAAAAAGCTTATATACCTAACCAGACGTGTGTGTCCAGCCCTACACAACCGGAATGATGATTAAAGAATATCATTAAAATTTTGTAAGTGTTGTATTTATCCTAGGCCGCATTAAGTGATGAATTGATGGTTGAATTTTCCCATAACGATAGAAATGAGCCTCATAATTCTACCAAATTTAACTTAGCCTTGCTTCCTATAAGATATTCTCATCCAGAATAGACTCCAGCCTCAATCTCGACTAAGCCTCCTTAGCGTACATGTCAAATTATATGCAGCATTACCAGGGTTCCAGTACTATTTGGAGTGCTGACAAAACCTAGGCAAGTTTGAGGTTATAGCAAGGCTAAGTAAACTTTACTGACATTGTGAGGCTTACTCACATCACTGTGGTAAAATTCACCTAACAGTCATTCATCATCTTATGCACCTACTCAATACAAATATTATAACTTGGCTAATAACGGAGGTTACGCTCTGCTTTAATTACTTGGATATATTATTGCTAGTTACGTACCATTACGTATAAAAGAACGAAAATAAGCATGTACGCGCTTCTAGACTGACATGTAGCATCGACTAACCAAATCGCCGTATACCTTATAAGAGGTATAGTCATATGGTATATATATATATACGCAGCATATAGGAGTAATCCATTCCATTTTCTTGACTCATTAGCTTGCTTCAGAGAAAGCTTCAATCAGAATGTTCCAGTAAAGTTAAACACCAGCTTCAAGCGCGATCAATCTCAAAATCCCTTTATGATACACTTTTGTTTGGAATAAAAGTAAGTTCAAAAAACACGAATTTGATTCTTATTCTGGATATAAAATTCCATTAAATCTGACATATTTAACTTATCACTTAGCTTGTGCACATGCGTGGATTACACTTACTATGGCCACTTATTAAATTGTAATGTAAAACATGCATTTTCATATTTTTTATCCAAAATACACAAAATAATCTTATATACAATGCAAAACCAGAATTTCGGTCTTGCTTCTCTCAATATATCTATTGATCAACTGAAATTCATAACATTGCGAGTACTATGAAAATAGGCTTACCAGATCTTACTGCTGACTTCTTGTCTGATGCGCCAGAGAAGTGGCTAGAGGTCCCAGAATCAGACGTAAAGACACCATCCTCGTCGGTCCGCAGACATTTAAATCGCCCATTGGCAACAGAGTGTTCTGATAATTTAGCCTGCCCAGACGCCATGGATCCTGTAGCAGCACGATTGCTGACTAATTCTGTCTCCGCCAGGCTGCTTGAAGAGGGCCTCTGACGTCCAAAGCTTAAAGAATCACCTTGGCCATTCGGACCAGTGAGGATGGAAACTTCAGTGAGCTGACGAAGTGGGAGATTGTGTTCATGCCGGCGGAAAACCAATTTCAAGCAGAGCTCATTTACTTCTTCAGTGAGGTCGGCGAACAACAGCTGTTTGGGTGGTAGGAAAGTATTAAATAAGTGGAAACCTTTGCAATAATATTTATTGAAAGTGCCAGTAGATCTAAAATGTTATGCCATAGTTCCCAATCCTGAAAAGATTATTTTTTTGACCCAGGTGGATTTCAATTAATCCAAAAAGCGGGTTTTTATCCAAGGTTGACTAAGCTTAAACTTCGTATAGGTCTAACCATCCTAGGATTTTATTCGCCTCCTCGTATTTAGCATTTAAACAATAAAGTAATATCGTTCAAACAAGATGTCTTTATGTTCTTATAGTGGCGTACCCAAATCTTTATAATCTTAATACAATAAATAAGGTAAGGGTCAATTAAATAATGGCAATAACTGCCTAATGAAGGTAGGAAACAAAGTTAAAAGAATTCGTAATTTATTTATTGAAGAAGAGAGAACGAATAGGTCAAATTTGCCTGCCAAGAGGTCAACTTAAGTATCAAGATATGAAGACCGAGATGGTGTGGCCTTTTGTGTGGTCGCAGTCTCCTTTCGCTGTATAGAAGTTGTTTGACCTTGTTTTCGC